CATTAAAAACAACAAGAAAGTGAATGTTAGCACTAATGAAAGGTTCCACACAGTTTTTGCCTTGTAGCACCTTCATTTCTGTGCCAAAATTTCACAATTGTGAATTGGAGATGAAGCCTAGGAACGAGAGTCGTAGTCTTGCTTCTTAGCCGTTGGCTTTTCAGTGAGTTTGCCAGCTGACAATTAATTACAATGTCTGATGCTGGGAACTGGCTAAGGACCAAAACCTCTCATTGTACATCAACTACCAACTGAGATTTTCAGACGGAAACAAAGTTTTGCCGCTGCTATAGCTGTGAGCTGATATTCTTTTTCCTGCCTTTCTTTCCTTTTTCAGTAGCATTCTTTTCTCACAGTCTAAACAGTATTAATGCCTGACAACAGGACATCTGAAATGATAGAAAAGCATTGTGCTTGAGTTTATATGAACATTCTATCTGTGGAGGAAGCTACACAATGCGCCACTCGCACTAGCAGGCGCTAAACATGACTGCATGAACTGCCCTGTAGTTGCGCATTGCCCAGGTGAACCCCAGAGCAGCATGGCCCAAGTTCAGCAAGCACAATCGTTGTGTTAGTATGGATTTGAGCACACAACCCAAACTATTTCAGCTGTTGTTCTGGCTAATGAAGCTACATCTAAGACAGCATTTCTCAGACTATGTTCTAGCCTCATGACTCTGTATGATTCATGACCCCTCTTTGAGCACCCCAGATTTAACAAACCAAAGAATGGCAAAGCAGTTCAATTGACAGTGCGGTATCATTTCCTGAGATTTGTGTCAGAACTTATGAACACAGCAGGTCTTGGAGCCAAGGTGCAGTTTGCAGCGAGGGCTTATTTCACACAGTATGCTGCTTAATTAATCAAAAACGTGTTGACTTGGTTATCTTCATTGAAAATATTGCTATGAAGTGATATGGAAGTTCTGTGCCTCATGATTACACTGCTAGTTAGCACTTGATGGATGATGGATGAGTGATGCTTGTAGTCATGTGTGCACTAAGCACAAAGGTGCAGTTGACACTTAGAATCATAGAGTTGGAAGAGACCACAAGGGCCATTGAGTCCAACCCCCTGCCAAGCAAGAAACACCATCAGAGCACTCCTGACATATGGTTGTCAAGCCTCTGCTTAAAGACCTCCAAAGAAGGAGACTCCACCACACTCCTTGGCAGCAAATTCCACTGTCGAACAGCTCTTACTGTCAGGAAGTTCTTCCTAATGTTTAGGTGGAATCTTCTTTCTTCCATTGCTCCGTGTCTGCTTCTCTGGAGCAGCAGAAAACAACCTTTCTCCCTCCTCTATATGACATCCTTTTATATATTTGAACATGGCTATCATATCACCCCTTAACCTCCTCTTCTCCAGACTTAATAGAAAATGGGTAGGGTTTTCTGTTTTTGTTTTCATTTAAGCAGCATGATCAACTGCTTACCTATTGCCATAGGTCACTCCAGACATTTCTTATATCTTGATACCTACTAGAGGCAAAAGTGGATTTAGCATGGTGCAGTAAGTAGACTAGGACAGGCATGACCCAGGTTCATATCCTCAGCCATGAAGCTCACTGGGCAACATTGGGCCTGTTGCTCTCTCTCAGCTTAAACTGCTCCACAGGGTTTTGTAAGGTTAAAATGGTGGAGTGTGAGGAACCATGCATGTTACAAAAGTGGGATATAAATACCGTATTTTTTGCACCATAACACTCACTTTTTTCCTCCTAGAAGGTAAGGGGAAATGTCTGTGTATGTTATGGAGGAAATGCCTACGGGTGGCATGCCTACGGATTTTCTTCCTCTAAAAACTACGTGCGTGTTATGGTTGGGTGCGTGTTATAGAGCGAAAAATACGGTACATACAATTGGACAATATATTCTAAAGACTTATATCTCAATAGTTGACCAAATGTTCTTCAAGGCAGCTTACAACATGTTAGCAACCCTGTGCACATTTACTTGAAAGTAAATCCCAGTGTTCTGAGGTAATTTTTTTCAGGACGGCACACTAAAATATACATGGAAGTCCTCTGTACCCTTGTGCTGATGGCAGAGGTCAAAATGACTTCTGTAGTTATGGTGCAACTGTCAGTTACTAACTGGGGTGGGGCAGAGCTGGAGCAGAGGCTTGACAACCATATGTCAGGAGTGCTCTGATGGTGTTTCCTGCTTGGCAGGGGGTTGGACTCGATGGCCCTTGTGGTCTCTTCCAACTCTATGATTCTATGATTCTATGGGGGGGGCTAGCCAGAGTTTTTGCCCCGGGTGAAGCCTCCAGAGGGGCACCATTGAGCCTCCCATCCTGTGTATAAAAGGTACACAAATGTGTGGGGGGGGGTGCCAGACTGGGTCTTTGACTCTGGTGCAATAAAGCCTAGTTTTGCCCCTGGGTGTGGGGTTCGCACAGCTGGTTCTTCTCTGCCTGATGACTGTTAACAGGCTACTTTTCCTCTTTCCACATTGTTCCTGGGAGTGGGGGCATAGAATTTCCTAAAGTTCCTTGGGACTGTGCCTAGGCCAGAATGTCCTTCCGCTTGCTTAGCTAGTCTCCAGTGCGCTCATTGTTGCAGTCCCGATACATATTTCCATAGCAAGAAAACTTTCTTAGTTCTTTGCTACTTAAAAAGGAAATTGGGACAATGTTATTCATGTGCTAATGACTGCCTATTCAGCTTGACACTTACTTATTCCAAAACTTGACATTTAGTTTAATGGGCACTGATGGGCATATCATCTCTGCAAGTACCGTGAATTGAAGATGTCTATGTTGGCCAAAAGTCACGGTGATGAGCAGAAACTTGAGTATACACTTTTTTCCTTTCACCTCTTAGAAACCCAAGTTTTCTCCAAGGCAGCCTCCAGTGAAGGCAAGGTTGGGTTTTTGCCAGAACTCCCATACTGACAAAGTACCCAGCAGAGCAGCTATTATGATGTTTCCTGAGAAAGTTGGATCTCACAAGCAGATGGTAAACCTGTGTCTGGACTGTACCACCTTAATTGTGAAAGTATGATTGCCAAATCCAACACCTGACAAGATATCAAGTCACATGAATGGGGAAAGTGCGGTAGCTCTCTTAAATTGGGGGGAAATAAGAAAACATTTGTGGTTTTTATGTTTCCGAGAGGGGCAGGCAGGGAGACACGATAGATGTTTATGCGGTTATAAATTATCTCCCATAATACTGGAACTTGGGGCTCACCCAATGAAGATGATTGGCTGAAAGGTTCAGGTCAGACAAGAAAGAAGTATTTCTTCACAAGAATGTAATTATTTTGATGGTCACTAGCTTAGATCACTTTTTGAAGCAAGTTAGGGGAGAATAGATACAGCTGGTAGTGCACTTCCAAATACTAAATGCTTAGTGCAAACAGAGCAAGCCACCACCTTTATACCCTGTCTGTGCTGGTTGCTGTTGGCTTGTTCCACCAAGGCAGTTCTTAATAAAGAAAGTCCTCTGCTTTTGTATGTAGGGCTAAGAATGTATTAATTACATTTTTGTACAACTCAGAGCTGCATTCATGAGGGCTAACCATTGATGTATGTCAAGCAACCCCACGTTCTCCACAAATGGAGCAGAGCAGCATTTCATCCATACCAAATAATTGTTGGTATTCTGACACATAGCATCACATCATATCTGCAAGAATGATGGGCTGTAGCATAAAACATGACAAGACTAATGGAACATAACATGGATTATTACAATTTTTACTACTATGGTAAGCTCAAAGAATTGTCTACTCTACATGCACATGGTGCTGTTTTATTGGGGAAAAGGCCTGGCTGAATGGTAGAGCACATGCTTTGCATTCCAAAGGTTTGAGTTTCCTTCCCCCTCCATCTCTGGGAACAGGCCAGGCAAAGAGCTCTGCCTGAAGATATTCTCACAACATTCATGAGAGGATACCAAAATGTGTGAGAGAGGTAACAATAGGGATGAGAGCCCTGATGTGGGATGGGATTGTGTGGCAATACAATGGAGTGAAATAAATTTTCTGGCCCAGCCTTTGGGTATGAACTTCCAATTCCTCCTCTGCACATAGGTATGAACTGCTGACTCTTAAATCTATCAGAAGGCTAGCACTGAACTGGCAGGTTCTAAATCCATGATTCATATAGGAGTGGGAAGTCTTAAGTGGAATCATTTTTGTGATTTCAGAAATTGTATTGCTTATAATTTTCCCTGCTTTTCTAGCCCTGCAGAGGTTTCACTGCTGGGGGATGCAATGTGCTACTGGCAGGCACAGGAGTGATAAAATATATTAACTAAAGGCTTCTATAAATTTTTGGAAGGCTCCTATTTGTTTAATCGTGGCTCAGGTGTACCAGGACTGCTATGCGCAATACAGACATAAGAAAGAATGATGAAAAGATGATATTAATGCCATGATGAATTATCACTGTTTTGTAGATGCATAAAATAAAGCTACATGTTGTCATAAACTTGCACATTTTTCCAGAGAGCCCTTTTAGAAGGAGGAGTTCAGCAGCCCATTCTGGCCCTGTACTCTACCATCATCCCATTGACACAACACAACTGTTACTCCCTCCACACCATATCACTATTAGTACAGTAACTGGGGGAGTGGGGAGAGTTGATTTAAGGCCACTTTTAAATCAAGAGCTGGTAGTTGTTAACCTTTTCCTCTGTCCCATGCAGGCACCAAGTCTTAATAGATGCAGGTAATACTGTAAACATTACCATGGAACATACATTGTTTGGGGAGAAGACAGCATCATTTCTGATGCCATTCCGTAGGGCTATAGAAGAGTCATGTGTCATTTGGTACTCAGATAGCATGGACTGAGTAAGTCTGTTTCTCATGGCAAAACACAGATAAATGTATAAGAACCCAACAGGCAAAAATAATTTTATATGTTGATGCCGAGACTATGAAGGTTGTGAGAATGAAGAGGTTTCAAGACATAGGAAATTGCCTCATACCAGATCAGACTCTTTGTCTGTATAGCCTATAAGTACTGTTTGCTTTGGGTGCAGGTGGCTCTCTAAAGGCTCAGGCAGAAGGTCTTTCCATCACCCGCCACCTGATCCTTTTAACTGCAGATGTCAGGGAGTGAACTTGGGACTTTATGCATTCAAAGCAGATGCTCCACCACTGAGCTACAGCCCTTCCTCCAATATGGTCTGCCTCTGAGCTATCGTCCATCACTGAAAGAATGGCCATAGTGGCTAGGATGAAAGCCAAATTCACTTCGCACAGCAGCTTATGTTGAGAGTCACGTTCTCTTCTTATGATAACTAAGATTGTTCTTGCTGCTGCATCTCCAATTGAGATAGACCAATGTGGTTTATTTCTCTTTCTTTCTTTTCTTTCCTTCCTTCCTTCCTTCCTTCCTTCCTTCCTTCCTTCCTTCCTTTCTTTCTTTCTTTCTTTCTTTCTTTCTGCATAATGTTTTATTGAATTTTTTCATCATACAATACAATAAAGAACAAACTAATCTAAAAGCAAAAGAGATGGGATTACAAAGCCCTCTCCAAGGTGTCTCACACAGAAGGGGGTGGACCCTCCCAGCTTTCACTTGGGAGCTTCTCTTACTTCTCCCAGCCTCCCAGCCTGGGAGATCTTCTCTTCCCTGCATCTCACACAGGGCTTTCACCAGCCAGCCATCACCTTCATGTACATAACCTCATTAATTCAGAGGGCATCAAAGAACAAAACAAACCTTAAGCAAAAGCAAAGTAGTTAAAAGAAGAAAAAGAAGGGGGAAATGAAAAGAAAAAGAGAAGAAAGAAATAAAGAGGACTTCTGATTCTCTGTTAATTGTATTTACTCCAAATATTCAAAGTGCTCCAGGATGCTATCCAGCTGTAGTCCAGAATAATATCCAGCTGCTCCTCGTTCTGCTAGATGATGTTTCCCAATCTTAAACCAGACATCTCAAGTTCAAACATTTTCCCTTCCACACATTTCCCTTCCACAAATGTCAAGAATAGCCTCCCTCCAGCCCAATATAACGACTTTATCACAAAAGAATTCCAAAAACCCTTCCTCCAAGCAGCCAATCAAAAGCTGTGTTTTGGTTTTCAAATGTTTTCTAAGTCGAATGGACTTCTGGAACGGATTCTGTTTGACTTCCAAGGTATGATTGTATTTCATTGATCAGTGTTCCATTAAAAGTCAAAATAAGTTGTATGTTTTCCTTCGTTGGTCAGTTAGATGAAGAGATTTCTGCTGTAATAGCACAATGTGCAAGAAATCCCCCTGCAATGTGTTGTGATTGCCTTAATTTTAGTTTACTTAAATAAGCTAGGATCCGGCAGATCCCTTCTGCTCCTATGGGGGGGGGGGGGCTGTTGATTTTAGCTGATGTCCTCTTCCAGCTCCCCATTACTCAGTGTCTCGCAATCCTCAGGAGCAGTTTTCAGGGTGGTTTTAGGGAGCAGCCACAGATCCAGACTGTATTATCATTGCTGTTTCTAATTACCTTTCAAACAGTTCCCCTCACCTCACCCAGCATGTTATCCTCCCAACAACCCTGTGAGGTGAGTTAGGCAGAGAATGAGTTCCCCAAAGTCATCCAGGGAGTTTCACGATAGAGTGTGGATTTGAAGCTGAGTTTCCCAGTTCCAGTCCAACACTGTAACCACTTCCTGACAGTGGGCTTCTAATGCTTTTATCACATGGGTTGGAGCACTACACAGGTCTTCAACGCACAGTGGTAGTAGAAAATGCAGAAAAGCAGCTTCCATACAGGAAATATAAAGTATACATTGATTAAAATGAAGAAGATACATAAAAGACAGGCTTGTTTACTGCTGCGCATCCTGTCTGATGCACCCTCACCAATTTCTCCCTTTAAGTAATGCACTGTGACATTTTGGCTGAACAAATGACCCTCATCTAAAGACTAATAGAGCTATGCATGGATATTTCCGCAGATGTACAATGAGATCCAAGTTCTTCTATTTGTCTATGGATTGAGATGTCCTTTATCTAGGATATCTATATCTTTGAAAACTAAGATAATTATTGAAGAGGGCACTAGGCAATTTAGGAGGATCACTGTCTTCATATGACAGAAACTTTGCAGCAAAGCACAGTAATTTATGATGATAAATTGCAGCTGTCAGAATGTCGAGATCACTTCATGGAATTTATTTCCAAGCTCACATTTTGAGTATATGTGGTGGTGGGATTTCCAACTCCCACCCCTACCCCCTCCTGTGTGAATTGCACAGGAAAGTAGCACGAAGTCTTGATAGCCTTCTTTCCAAACTGCCATAGCACAACTGGGGGCAAATTAATTCCACTTTGCCTTAATGCAGAAACAAAATGACTTCTGTCCTTCTGAAAGACAGCTGCAGCAAAAGAGGATGACACTGTGACTTCTAGGTGTGCTGATGGGTTTCGAAGCCCAGTTAAGCACATGAACTAAAGTCTCATCTGGTCCAGCACTCTGTGCTCACTGCAGTCAACCACATGGCCATGGGAAGCCCACAAGCAGCACCTGAGGGCAACTGTGCTCTCACCATCTGCACTTCCCAGCAAGTGGTGTTCAGAGGCATAATACCTCCATACCATCTGCCTTGGGAGAAGGAAAGGCTAAGGAGTAACCCTACACAAATCAGGAGTGGAGTCCCTAAGAAAGTTGAATGGTGTCTTGTACGCCTCCTTCCAGCAGCCAAGCTGGTGCCAAACCTATTTCTCTGCATTCCTTTGGACCACATCGGCGAGGCAGGCTGGGGTGGCTGTCTTCTGGGCAGCCCTGGACACGCAGCTCAGGCTTGCACCCCAGCGAGGTCACTTCAGTGCTGCTAATGAATGCAGTAAAAGCAACACTGGAGGCTGCAGTTGCTAGGTACCAGTCTCTGCAGCTACAGCGGGCGCTGTGATACTCCAGAGATATGGCTTCACCCTTGGAGGCACACTCCATTGTCTCTCTAGAAAAACGGATGCTAACAGCTACTCCAACTGTACAGGTGGTATAAAACCAATGATAGCCTTATCTTCCCTGAATCTGTCTAATCCTAAACCTTCTGAGTCGGTGGCCATCACTACATTTTGTCAGCTGGGTTTTTAGAATTTTGTATACGTTTCAGAATGTTTTTGCTTTGTTTTCATTTTTAAATTGTGGTTTTGTTTGCTGCCCTGCGCTCCTACAATAAATAGTAATAAATGTCATGCATGATGCTAGGTGCAGCAGGTGGGCATGCTGTGGGGATTGGTCCATAAGGACAAATAGGGCACTGCCCCACAAGCGCAATCTGCCTTCATCCAGCCTCCTGCTTCCTCGTCCATAGTGTCAGTGTAGAAGATGGAGGAAGATGGAGACAAAATGAGAATTAGTTGGCTCTGCCTGTCATTGGGTCTTGCTGCTCTCTGGCCTACCAGTGCCAGTGGGCACCAGCCAAGACTGTGGCCTGGCAGGTCAAATGGGGAAAAACAGAAGAGCATCTAGAGTTCTTAGATATACTGGTAGAATTTCCTAACACAGGACATTTTGGGAAACTGGACACAGCCTGGCTCTTGGTGCTGGGTGAAAAGATAAAGATTGGTTCTGTGCTCTGCATCCTGTGCCCTCCTACTGCTGGTTTGGGAAGCAGTTGCATGCAATGTTAGTCACAATCCATATAAATCCTGTCAGAAAATACTATGCTTTGATGCATTTCCCCCCAAGACCATCTTTGAGCAAAATTGAGGAAAAGAATGAGCTAGCTGCACTTTAATCTGGTAGTGCATGCCAGCAAAATCTAGGTGAGCAACGCCCTGCCCTTCAGCTGCTACTGCGGTTCATGCAGGGCCAACTAGGCAGCTGGCTCAGGGGCAGACCTCAGAGGGGCACAGTACTGACCTTTGAGGGGCAGTTTTATATAGGTTAGTTTTTCTTACAAATTTCTGATATTACCTTCATATTTTCATATATTGGGGGTAATGACATTTAGGTACCACAGGGCATGTAGCAGCTGGGTGGGGCAGTTTTTAATCAGGAAAGCAGTGGGGGGAAGGGGTTAAGAAAAGCTTCCAAACAGATTGCCTATCAAGTCCCCTCTCCTGTGCGATCAGAGCTCCCGTCATGTCCAGTTGAAACTGCCAGTGATAATAATGGAATCATCAACATGCCCAGTTTTGTGTTGTTGCCAACAGTTTGCCTGTTATCAGTGCTCGGGTGTGTGTATTCTTGGGCATTTAGCAGGTGCCTGAAGAGAAGGAATGGGGGGGGGGAGGGAGTTTTCAGGAGAGATGATGAAGAGCCTGGTCTGCAAATCAGGCCCACTTGACAGGCACTCACTAGGGGCCAAGAAAGATTATGCCTGGGGAGTTTATTTCATTGCTTTTCAATTGCACATGTCACTGCCTTTTCACCCCACGTGTCTGAAATTAGTCAGAGTTGACAGAAATCCAACTAATTTCAGGCACTTGAGGTTAAAAGACACTGAAAGACTGGAATGCCTTTGATTCAGCCTGTCATTGTTTTTTGCACTTCTATTGCCTGATTTCTGGCTTGCCAATTCCCACCCCCGGTTTTACTTAACAGTTTCGGAAGTTTAGGTCGAAGCTGAATTTTTACACCAGGTTTATGGTTAAACTGGAAGCCAACCTCATGTCCTCCATATCCTGAAAGGGCAGGCAGAACCCTGGCATACGGTTGCACAGACTCTCCAAGTGTCCCTGTTTTCCAGAGACATCTCTGATTTAGAGAAGCCGTCCCGGTTTCTGTTTGATTCTGGAATGTCCCAGTTTTCCTTAGGGTCTGGAGTTATCCAACCCCTGAACTGTCTGAAGGCAATCCTGTACAGGTAATATTTTTAATGTTTAAATTTTATTTTGTTTTTATATATGTTGTGGTTAGAGCAACCCGTGGGGTATAAATAGTAAAATTATCATTATGGAATGGGAAGTCACTATTTTCATAGGAGAAATGTTGGAGGGTATGGTTGCACCACTATGCGACTGCAGCCCTTCATCTTGTTTTTTTTTTTTTAAATAATTTTTATTAATTTTCCAAACATATAATAAAACAAATAACAAAACAAAATCATACAAGACATACAAACAAATAAACATGTATAATTTCTTAAACTTATTTTCATAAACCTTCTTTCCCGGACTTCCCCATACCTCCCTTTTTCTGCATCCTTATATTAACCTTTTCTCAGCAACCCTTCGTTTCAATTTGTTCAGTCATATTCATTATACATTTTTCCTAAAATTAAGATTTACAGCTGCAATTCTCTATTTCTTATAACCATGACATCTCAGCCATCATCAATTTTACAACAGTCTTTAAGATATTTTTTAAATTTCTTCCAGTCTTCTTCCACCGTTTCTCTCCCCTGGTCGCGGATTCTGCCGGTCATCTCTGCCATACCCATATACTCAGTCACCTTCGCTTGCCATTCTTCCAGAGTAGGTAGCTGCTGCGTCTTCCAATACTTTGCCAGAAGAATTCTCGCCGCTGTGGTAGCATACATAAAAAAGTTTTTGTCCTTCCTTGGCACCAATTGGCCCACCATACCCAAGAGAAAGGCCTCTGGCTTTTTCAAAAATGTCCATTTAAGGACCTTTTTAATTTCATTATAGATCATTTCCCAGTAGGCCTTTACCTTCGGGCAGGTCCACCAAAGGTGATAAAAGGTACCTTCAATCTCATTACATTTCCAACATTTATTACTGGGCAGATGGTAAATTTTTGCAAGTTTGACTGGGGTCATGTACCACCTATAAATCATTTTCATTATATTCTCTCTTAATGCATTACAAGCTGTAAACTTAATACCTGTATTCCATAACTGTTCCCAGTCATCAAACATTATGTCATGACCTATGTCTTGTGCCCATTTGATCATGGCTGATTTTACTACTTCATCTTGTGTATTCCACTTCAGCAGCAAATTATACATTCTCGACAAGTTCTTAGTATTGGGTTCTAACAGTTCTGTTTCTAGTTTCGACCTCTCCATCTGGAAACCTATTTTCCTGTCCTGTTTAAATACCTCATTTATCTGACGGTAGTGCAACCAGTCTCGTATCTTAGACTTTAATTTATCAAAACTCTGCAATTTAACTCTTTCACCATCTTGTTCTATAATTTCACAATATTTTGGCCATTTGGACTCCATATTTAGTTTTTTTGTCTCTTTGGCCTCCATTGGTGATAACCACCTGGGGGTTTTACTTTCCAACAA